TTATCAGAGAGAAATTTACTATTGATAATAACTTTATACAGCCACTAAACTTAGTAGTTTAGTAGCCACAGCTGCCCTGGAGACGACTGACAGAAGTGAGGCAACCAGTGCGTGTCATCAATCCCCTCTGTTAAGTCATCATTAAAGGGCCCTAATCTGTCAAAAGGCTTTAATAAACAATGCTCTTTTCCGATACTTTACCTGATAACAGTAGTTTTCAAAATAGTAGAATTTCAAAATTACTTTTCCAGCCCCTAAATCTTGTAATTGTTTTCATTTCAATGTCCCGCCCTCCACCGTTTTACCAATCAGAAAGTCTGTGAGCCGGGTTGCCAGAACTTACCGCGTGGAGCTACTCTCACTGGTAAAGTACCATGTGGCGCAGAACTAAAAAAGATCTCGTTATGATTCTCAAATCATTAACGACAAAACAAGGAATAAAACCAGGATTTCTATCTTTGTGAAAAAGGTGTTGGTTATAGATTTGTTGTTGACAAAACTCTTGTCTATTCAGCTGTTATGGTCCCAGCTGGATTCGTCTGCATATCTGGCAACCTGAGTCAGGGAGAGTGGCAGAGGCTGCAGTACCACTTTTGGCCAGATTGTTTTTTACATACTGTTCCTTTAAAATACAAAGTTAAGAGCATCATGTACAGAGCAGAGTGTGTTTTTGTTATTAGAGAGTAGTCTTGTCGAAACAGATGAGTTTTGAGGGTTGGATTTCACATTCAGGATTTACAGTTTTATTATTATTGTGGACACTTGAATAGTGGCTTGGGCCTGATAGGATGAGCTGTTTGTGTAGTGTATGGGCCTGCAGGGGTGACACCCAAGCGGGGGATAGGAATAGCTGTGTGCGCATGTGTTGGGCTAAATTTGGGGCCCTCTTAAACTTCACAGGAGCTCAGAGGGGAAGACTCGCGTCACTTCACACCTCTCCAATTACTCTCAAACTGAGCACTTTTATTTGCCACTTCCACACATGACTTCATTACACGCAAGTACATGTGCTTTCAGGAGCCAATGTCAATGAGGCTCATGTGTCCGGACGTGTGAACGATTAAACCGAACGCAGGAAGAGATGGCGAGATGAAGGGAAGTGTGCAGTGTGGAGCCATCGTGACTTACAGAGGCTTTCAAGAATCAGAATCCCGACTGGACAAAAATCCCATGAAAAAATAAGTGAAAAATATATGGAAAAAGTAAAATAAAAAAAAGTTGTCTGGGAATAATAAAAAATGCTTAAAACAGGCAGTGAAAACTCTGTCGCATTTATTATTTATTACTATGAAGTATCTTAAAACTATTAAATTAATCAAGAAATATTCAATATAAGCTGTATTCAAGCAATAAAAAATCCTTGCCATAAAAAATAATTATTTTTAGTAAATAAATCTCACCAAGATTTTACTTTTCCCATGTCTCCATATGAATACAAACAGAGCTACATAAAACGACAATTTTGCAATAAAAGCAAAATAAATATGTCATTTTTGTAATTGTATTTTCATGAGGAAAATAGTGGTCATATCATAAATGTTGTGTTGTGTTCAGCCCCACACCTGTGCGAAGGAGAAGGTCTCACCAACACAGATTCAGACAGATATATGTGAACAATAATTTGTTTTTGATTGTGTGTATTATTATTAGAGCATTGGGGGGGCGAGAGTAGCTCAGTCGGTAGAGCATTGGCCTTTGGGCCTGAAGGTCGTGGGTTTGAGCCCACCATAAGACCTACTTCACGACTCCCACTGATGACTGCTGTCGTTGTGTCCTTGGGCAAGACACTTAACCCCACTTTGCCTGAAGCCCCCGCTGAAAGATCTCAGCTCCTGTGGACTCACCACCTGCAGGAGGATCAGTGAGGGGCTGGTGCTCTGCTGTACTGGGTGCAGCTCTGACTGCCACCCCCCCGACCCAGAAATGGATTAAGGGGAAGAAAATGGATGGATGGATGGATGTGTGTATTATTATCAAATACATGACCTTGTTATAAATATTATAAAAAATCATTACAAAAACAACATTTTCAGCTCATAAATACTGGGGGCAAAATCACAATGTTATGTTTATGCCGATAATGGACAAGTGTCAGTGCTGGTCCTACTGGACCTTAGTGCTGCATTTGACACAATAGACCACAGCATTCTACTGCAGAGGCTAGAATGTGATATAGGTCTTAGAGGAACAGCCCTTGGCTGGTTTAAATCCTATTTATCAGATCGATATCACTTCGTCAATGTGAATCAGGACTCGTCGCCTTATTCTGGAGTGGAATTCGGTGTGCCGCAGGGTTCGGTACTCGGACCGATTCTTTTTACTCTCTACATGCTGCCATTAGGAAACATTGTTAAAAAGCATGGAATTAATTTCCACTGCTATGCAGATGACACACAGCTTTATCTGTCGATGAAGCCTAATCAGACAGATCAGCTAGAAAAGCTCAGTGCCTGCATAAAGGACCTTAAAATGTGGATGACTCTTAACTTCCTACTTCTCAACCCGGAGAAGACAGAAGTGATCCTACTCGGTCCGAAGCGCCTGCGTGACTCCCTCACTAACCAGATGGTTACTCTCGATAATGTCAGTATAATACCCAGTAACACTGTGAGGAATCTTGGAGTCATTTTTGACCAAGAACTCTCCTTCAAGGCTTATATAAGCCAAGCAACTAAAACGGCGTACTTCCACTTACGGAACATCGCTAAAATTAGGAATTTCCTTCCTAAAAGTGACGCGGAAAAACTCATTCACGCGTTTGTCACCTCAAGGCTCGACTACTGTAACGCTTTACTGGCAGCGTGCCCTAAAGCCTCTTTGAAGAGCTTCCAGCTCGTTCAGAATACAGCAGCTAGGATCTTAACAGGTACCAAAAGGAGGGAGCACATAACTCCGGTGTTAAAATCACTCCCTGGCTCCCTGTGGAGTACAGAATAAAGTTTAAAATCCTACTCTTAACATATAAAGCCATAAATGGCTTGGCTCCTTCTTATCTCCAAGACACGTTAGTGTCGTATCAACCAAGTCGAGCGTTGCGCTCACAAAACGCCAGACGTCTGGTGGTCCCTAAGGTCTCAAAGGTCACTGTTGGTGGCAGAGCATTTAGCTACCAAGCTCCTTTACTGTGGAATCAGCTTCCCATTTATGTTAAGGAAGCAGATACGGTCTCCACATTCAAGGCCAGGCTTAAAGCACTTTACTTTAATTTAGCATATAATTAGGTAATATATAATATGTAAGTGTATATACTATATATATATGCTGTATTATGTTATATATTATGTTATATATTATTCAATAATGTATTGTGTTATGTTGTATATTATGTTATATATTATGCTGTATGTTATTCTTTATTCAAGGCTAGGTTTAAAACAGTCCTCTTTAGTTTAGCATATGGCTAGGAAGGTAAGACTCGGAGAAGGTTAAACTCCTCAGAGTGTCAGTCAAGCTGCATAGGGAGTCAGTTTGCTGGGAGAAGTATGGTAACTTGAGCACTATCCTCTCCTCCTTCCTACTTTATCTGTTTAGCATTTTTAGGATTCTGACTGTAGTTTGTTCATTGCTATTCACCCGTTGTCCCATTGTCTGTTTCATGGTACGATGACGGGATCTCTGAGCCTGGCCTCTTCCATCTACACCTGCGGACTGCCCCGCCCGACCCGCCTGGGAGTGCTTCGGTCCTGCACCGGACCTGTCCACGTTCAGCGTCCACTGGTCCACGTTCTGTAGCTAGCTTAGGTCCTAGATCATTAGTCTGTCCGTCCGGAGGAGCGGATCCCTTTCTCATATGGGTCTCCCTCCCTGTGGGTTTCCCTAGTTCTCCTCCAAGGTTTCTCACTTTTTCCCACTGGGTTTTTTAAGAGTTTTTCCTTGTCGATGCAGGAGGGTCTTGTTGGACAGTTAGTGTCCAACAGAAAGGATTGGTGATGATCAGGACACTTTAGCATTCTACAACATGTATGGACATTTTCTTCTGTGTGTGCTTTATACTGTATTCTTCATGTGTTTTAACTGTTGATTCTCTGACCTGTGTTGGTGATTTCAATGGTTTTGTTAAGTCCTCTGAGATGACTTCTGTTGTGACCTAGGGCTATACAAGAATAAATTGTATTGTATTGTATTGTATGTTTATATTTTTCTGCATGTGTCTCCTGCTGAAACTTGTTAGCATTGAATACTGTGAACAGGGTGCTTGCTCTTTATCCAAATTAAAATTCCAGACTTTTATTTAAAACAGATATTATTTTTAAATGTGGAAAATTCATTCTGTCTTCTTATGTTTACGGCTTTTTAAGTTCTTCTAATAAGACAATTAAAGCAAAAAAAGCTAGTACTGCTTAAATACCTGACGTGTATTTAAGCAGTAATAGCTTTTTTTGCTTTAATTGTCTTATTAGAAGAACTTAAAAAGCCGTAGATATTATTTTCCCCAAGACCTTAGCAGTGAAATCACAAAAATCCAAAAGGCAAGGGTTTATTGGATATCATTCAGGCTAATACAGTGTGTGACCAGTAAAATTATAGTTCTATAGCCTACCGTCCTATTTCTCATTTATGCCTCTGAGCACACTGTAAAATTCTACCATTAATTTTTTTCCCATACTTTCTTAAGATTTTCACAAAAAATTCAAGACTTTTCAAGGTCTGAAAAAACAGTGTTTCAAAATGCCATACTGAAGACTTTCAAGACTTGCGCAAACACATCGTTACTGGACATGAAACCAACCACATGGAAAAATACAATAAGAAGTTCTGTATACAACATTTCACTTCCCACACAGACATTTTTTTTGGATATTACTGTATGAAAACCAACAACGACTTTTAAGTGTAATATATAATAACAGAAAAGTAAGACGGCAATAAAATCCAATCCAACCCAGTCCTGAATATGGATCTTCTTCACATCTCTCTGAATCCGCTTTTATATTTCAGCTCCACTCATAACAAACTGTGATGTCCTGACGTCTTTGCTGATGCGTATTTGTCGTTGGCAGGTTCTCCCGGTCGGACGAGCTGTCGCGGCACCGGCGATCGCACTCCGGAGTGAAACCGTACCAGTGCATCGTGTGCGAGAAGAAGTTTGCCCGCAGCGATCACCTTTCCAAACACCTCAAAGTGCACCGCTTTCCACGAAGCAGCCGGACGGGCCGCTCCACCAACTGAGACGCCAGAGCCCACCGGCCCACTCAGGCTCATACTGTGTACCACGGCTGGACAGAGCGAGCCGAGTTTTGCATCAGTTCTTTTTATTTTGACGTCGTCTTTGTAAATCACCATTTTCTTTATTTTGACAATATGTATGAAAAAATGGTGGTTGGCAGAGCTATCGCAGATGGACTTTTAATGAGAAAAGAGAAAGACTGTTGCTTGTGTCACATGAGCTAGTCCACTTTTCTATTATGCAGTCTGTAGCTCAGGCCCCTCCTGCCAGCTCGGGATGCACAGACAAGCAGAGGGCCCGGAGCCAAGGGACTAGGGGCCGGAGGAGCTGGGACTGGGGCCGGAGGAGCTGGGACTGGGGCCGGAGGAGCTGGGACTGGGGCCGGAGGAGCTGGGACTGGGGCCGGAGGAGCTGGGACTGGGGCCGGAGGAGCTGGGACTGTGGCCGGAGGAGCTGGGACTGTGGCCGGAGGAGCTGGGACTGTGGCCGGAGGAGCTGGGACTGTGGCCGGAGGAGCTGGGACTGGGGCCGGGGGAGCTGGGACTGGGGCCGGGGGACTATGCATGTGAGCCAGTGTGTGCGAACAGAAGGGCGGCTCAGTGCGACACCTTTTTAAAACAATGGCGCGGGACTGGACTCTTGTGTTCGCCGTGTTTATGTTGAAATATGTGCGCGTGACGTACATTCTGGTACTGTGATAATTTATTGGGTGACGAGGAATGGACTGTAAAAATAAGCCTGATTTAAAACAGAAAACTGTTACTTGACATAGCACCTTCATAGGTGAAATAAGCTTCTTGTATATTACAACTGTATTTGTCTCTTTCAAATCATTTTGCTAATCTAATTTGAAGACAAATGAGCTATTGAGTGTATTTTTACACTTTTTAATTGTGTGCTAAAAGCCTTATTTCAGTATAGCATCTCTTAGGGATGTGTTCTGAACACCTCTGTGACACAATGTCAATGTAGATATATATATTTGCTATGTAATGGATGCTAACAAAAGGGAAATCAGTGTGTTTAATGTCGACAGGGCGTAGCAAACATACTCTTCATAAAAATCTGTCTCACTGGAATCAGATAAAGCATATCACCATTTGCAGCAGATTGTAGCAGTATTAACATGGCCATACATCCTTCATTACAAACATGAGCAGAATTGGTCCAGACTTTGGGTCAGTCTTAGGCGTGGATCATTTATCTTTATCTTTAGTGATTAGAAAGAATCCAATCAAGGCCATAGGGTGTGACATATCTCCTCACCTTCACTTAGTTGAGAACATTCCTGGAGCTTGATAAAGCCTGTGTCTGTCAGTGTGTCAAAGAGCTGAATGAGAACCACCAGTGATGCCTTCGTAACCGTACAACTGTCTTGATCTTTTAGCCAACCGGAGTATTTGGAATGTGTTTTATCCAAGTCTGAAGTGCATCATGTCCTGACTTCTTCATCTGCTTCACAAATGTTTTAAATCACAGAAAAAATCATAACAATGAAAATCAATCTCCCCTCAGACGTATGTGCTGCCCCCGAGAACCATGGGAGCTTACGTCACTTATAGGTTTACTACCTTTGAAGAGCAGCCGAGCTCACTGGATGTACTCACCTAATCATTTATTTGGGAGTTTAACTGGAAACTATTACCACATCATCAAGAACCATCTCATATCAGCCTGTCCTCTGCCTTCTGTCCATATTGTTCTTCTTATGGAACAGTTTTAAAGCAGCACTGTCGGGTGATTCGCTCAGACTTAGCCTTACCAAATGTTTTCTCCTTTTCCGCAGCACAATTTGGAATAAAAAACGTTATTATATGACTTGGATCGTTCGCACGCTCTGATTGGCTGATTTGCGGCCTGATATTTTCCCATCTCGGACCGTTACCATGACAATTGGTCCAGCGCATATCAGATTTGAATTCTATTTTCTGGAAGAGTTCGAAGAGCAAGAGGAAGTAATAACAGCAAAAATCGACAAAAACACAACCCCTAACAGTCAAGAAGAGATTGACAACTTTGTTACAGATCAGAAAGGTAAAAACAGGATTAGGAAAACCAAGTCGGACATGAACATACTTCACAAATATCTAAAAAGCACTGTTAAAGACACAGACTGAGAACTTACAGCGGGCGCCTCAATCATCTGATAAGCAAGTTCTCCATGTCACGACCGATCGACATTTGCACAAATTAAAAATAGTCATATAATAAAACATTTATTAACCTCGCTTGCTCGGTCTGTACAGAGACATTTCAGACCGTGGCGAGGTTAGCGTTAGCATCTTCTCCTGGCAGCACTTTCTAATATGTTTTCTAGAATGACGACAGAGAAGCCATTGGCCCACATTAACCTGCCTCCATAAAAATCCTGCCGCACAATCCTTCAGCAAAATCTCAAACTATACAGACGGTCCTTGTTTACCGATGAAAGACAAGATTTTGGAAAATGTATATGAAATGACGTATGATATGAAAAACTCACTTGAACCAAATAGGGGATTGGATATGTTCCTTGTTCAGTATTGTCCCAGCGATGTGACACACCCCAAGACGCGTGGGCCTGTGAATGTATGTAAATATTGTATATGCATCAAAGAAGAGACATGAACTATTCTTTTTAGTGATTTCTGTGATTGCAAAGATTTATAAGTGGCTGTAAATAACATGATAATTCATATATAGAGGGTTTTAAATGAGCTTAAGTGTTTACACATGGTTAAAGGGCTTAGGAACGTCTCATCCAAATTGATTTGTTTGCTCTTTTTTTCGTCCAAATGAGCCATCAAATGTGCCTTTTTTAATCGTGCTTTGTAAAACACTTATAGGAAAAAAATGTTCCAAAATGTTATATATTAAAAGAATCCATTTACAAATAAACGTTTTAAATAAAATATACATGCTGCTTCCAATGTTCATTTCAATTGTCTGGGCGTCATGAATGAAAACGAAAAAGTCCACCAACACAGAAAGAAATGAGTCGTTTTCTAACCAGAGACTTCCTGTTTGTCAGACAAGCACATATTTGACAGTGTTAAGCGGGTTAGAGGGGGACCCATTACAAGTAGTAAATAAAACTAATTATAGTGGCCGTACAGTGTTTGACATGTTTTTATCGCAGAGAGAACACTTTGCACACACCAGCCAGACCAGGCGTAGAAAACTGGGAGCTTTTCTATCTGCAAACGCACATGACATAGTGTAGGAGAGGAGTAACATATGTCAAGTGTGAGGGGTTTGGTTACATCAAAATAAAAATAAAGTCATTGGAGTCTATGCATGTCGCTGGTTTCATATTTGGTTTTCTGAGTCCATGTCTTATATCCAAGCATGAGGAAGAAGTGTCACTATATAGCAGTAAGGTGGGCAAACTTTTATTTAACCTGTTAACTCCCTGTCACAGAGACCAAAGTCTTCTCTTCATTTTCTAAACTATGAAAAGAAAACGTTCAGAATGGTGAATTAGGTAATGCTCACTTCCTTGGAAATATTAGATTAATCCTAGCCTGGTCTTAGCCATCCGTAAACTCTGGTCCATGATCATTTCCTACATGTGCGTCTTGGTCTGATCCAAGCCCCGGCGATCCAAGATGGCGCCCTATTCAAATGAATGGTTGTGCTCAGTGGCGCTTTGTGACGGCATGGGGGCTGAAAGATTAGCGGAAGTTGCCTGAAACTCGCAAAGATCTATGGGAAACTTGCAAAGATCTATGGGATCTATGCCTGTATTTGGGCCTCGTCTGGTCCTCCCGGTTCTGCGCATTGTATGATCTCCCATAATGCATTGCGGCAAACACGCGTGTGTGGGTCTCACACCGGGTCTCACGCACATGCACAGAGGGGCTCGGCCGCGCTCTGACCAATCAGAGCAGTTCATCAGAGCGGGAGTTAGAGCGAGAGCCAGACGAGCAGAGTTTGTGGCACTAAAGTGTAGATTTAAACAAAACCGAAGGATTTAAGAAGAAAAAAAGTTTAGGATGACAAGGGACACTAAAATCCCCACAAAATCCGACCTTTATGAAAGCTGTAGGTTCTCTGTCAGGTTCTCTGTCAGCTGAGGTCGTGCTGTTTTAATATGCATTGAGTTCTATGGGGAAAATTTCTGGGTAGCCCGCGTGAATTTAGTCTGGTTCAGTCTGCAGTACCGCGAGAATCCCCCGAGCACGTGAGTTATTCAGCTACAAGCTAGTAATACCCTATCCAGTTAATATTATAGATCCATGGTCTGATCCTAAAGTGGCTGCAGTTTCCTCGGTTGACTCTCCTCCGACCAATCAGAGAGCGGTGGAGGCGGGAGTTGTAGGGAGGTGTTGGTGACGTCAAGAGTTTGCTGGTTGTAGTTTGGCGGAGAATGTGATAGTAAAGTGTTGAGTTCTGATTGGGCTCCAAATATCAAGAAATTGAAACCGGAGCAAGAGGAATGTTTAGTAAATGTCATTGCAGCAAAAATATTTTGGCTCTACTTCCCACGGGCTCCGTTAGTGGCAAAGGAGATGGCTAAAGCTAGGCTGAATGCTAAATGCATCACTCTAACGCATTACATACATCACAAAAAACTCACATCCAAACATTACAATCTGCAAAAGGAGTTAACCCCTCCCACCTGTTAACGGAGCTCACTGGAGCAAATCCAGACTTTAATATGAAATTAAATTAGTACGATTGTATGGTAAGACCAGGCCAGATCAATCCATGGGAAATGTTTGTTTCGCTTCATCTACGCTGTTCTGAGGAACCACTAAACACATTCAGCCATCAAGAAGCATCTTACAATTGAAAAGAAAGCACCGTCCACATGTCTGGAGCTGCTGGTGCCAGGGCTCAGACTCTGAAGAACATTCGTGAGAAAGTGTTGTGTAACACACTTGTCGGATCACCGGACACTGTGCCACTGAATACAGTTGTTCTCATAAATTCAAACCCGACAGACAAGTGTGAATTTACAAGCTCTGTAAGTCACTTACATCGTAGACTACATCCTCAGTAAAAACAATTATTTGGAACGGAAATTGTCTATGTGTTCATCCAAGGCACAAAAATAGAACATGCCATCAGTACTGCTAGTGTGAGCTGAAGGTATGTCACACCAAGAGGCGCATAAGAAGGTGATCTATCAAGCCTCCAACACCTGGACACTCAGTGGAGGCGTTCCGTTATTACTGCGAGGCCGTAAAACAATATGAATGACAGCTCTCATGACATCATGCTTTCACAGCAGCCACTGAAGGTTACGCAATATTCTCCTGAGACGTTGAAAAGTACTAACAGATTTGATTCCTTTTCTGTCTTGTACAAATTTAAATTTCAAGATATTTATTTTACCAAATCCACAGCAAACCCAGGCCAAATGCTCTTCAAAACATTGCATAATGAGTTTTGTTATGTGCTTGAAATCTGAGGAATGGTACAACGAGGCCCGGCCTATTCAAATCAACGCCTTGTGGACGACATCCCATGATGCTTTGCGCCAAATACTAACGCGCATTCACAAAGGGGCCTTCTGACCAATCAGAGCAGCTGATCAGAGCGGGAAGAAAACACACTTTTGTTGCACTAAAGTGTGAAATGGATTCAAGAAAAAAAAAAGTTCAGGATGACAAGGGACACTAAAACCCACACAAAATCCAACCTTTATGAAAGCTGTAGGTTCTCTGTCAGCTGAGGTCGAGCTGTTTTAGTTTACATTGAGTTAAATGGGATAATTTCTGGGACTGAACTTATTTCGTCTGCAGTCCCACAGGAAGCCCCCTTCGGCTTTAGGCTAACGATACCCTATCCAGATATTATAATGGATCCATGTGTTCAACTTATCCCATGTGCCTGAACCGCTTTTGAATGGACCATCCTTTCATATTGTGTTATTCCAAAAAGCAAATGTTGTTAGCTGCGTGCTGAGTCATGTTGCTGTTGCAGTCCACGCTAAACTGAAAAGTGTGTGAATAAAAACACACTGATTTATGCAGCGGCTGGTCTCTGAGGCATTCTGGGATGCGGCAGCCGGATTTGATTCAACACATCTGGATTTAAAGGACTCCTCTCAGGTTCAGTCCTTCAGATGGTTGATGTTCCGAGCTCTGGAAAAGGAATGAACAAGTATATTATGTACATTAACAGCGAAAATACCCGGACACACTGTAGGAAACTGTACACACAAATACTTGGTGCCATTAGAAGAATCAAAGTCAATGTTTATAGGTTTATGAAATTAATCTTCAAGAATCTCTACCACAGAAACAGATAATGAGTCTTGTCCTTCCTGAGTCATTGGCACCACAAAAAACTGAGATGGTGCGATATTTTATAGAGTCCGTCATCTGAAATATGTACAGATAACATGTACGCTTGTTCATAATAATAATAATAATAATAATAATATGGCATTGGCTTTGAATTTGCCAACACAGATCAGAGAATCAAACAGTTCAAACACAAGAAATGCAATGATACAACACAGGGAGAACATGCAAAGTCCACAAAGAAAGGCTTCATGCTGTCAATCATAAGCGCTAAATACTGTGCTACTTTTTTAAATGTTTTTTAATGTATTTTATTATAATTTTTAAATATGTGTTTATCTTTTAACTCTATTCTTTCTCTATCTGCCACTGTGCTGCCCATGTATTTGTAATCGGTTTCAACAGAAGACAATGAACCGTTCTAGTTGATTGACTGATTTCACGTTTCAAGAAATCGGATTATGTGTTATGCAAATGGAAATAACAAGAAGTGCATGTGGTAAAAGACCTTTGTTTGAGTTATTTAAAGATGCAGTCAATGATTTATCCAGACGCAATTTTTAAACTAGTGTGTGGAAACGCCCCTAAACCCCAAAAGTTATCAAATTATCATGTGTTTTTAAAATAGCAATGGACACGCCCAGATGTAGCCTCAATAAATAATAATTCGTATTTTGGAGCCGATAGAACGAACCAATGGGATGCAACCCCGTCCTACTTTTCATAATTTTCTAAAACACCAACAATGGCAGAACAGAAAACCTCCAAAGTTCCAATTTCACGTTTGCCACTCGCCTGGTGAGAAAATCCGATGAGGAAAAGGCGTTGTGTAAGAAAACTTGGGACGTAGCCAGGGCTATGTGACGCTACGGCAGTCCAGTTTTGCTAATTGCTAGTTTGTTAGGTGAAGCTAGCATGTGTCAAGTATAGCAGGCTAATCGCTCACAGACTTGATCTTAATTTAGTATAATGCTTTTATTGTTCAAGCTGGAAGTTTTGTCACGGACTGCGTTATTGCAGAAACAGCGTTCATGGGCTGGGGGTTGGGTTTGCCGGAGGACAGGGCTAGGAGGGGGAGTGGTTTTGACTCGATGCTACATGGATGCTACTGCTAAGCTAACTTGAATCCTTAACTGCACCTTTCACATAAAACTATTATGATTATAGTTTTTTAAGGTGACACTAATTACACATATACCTGATTGTTTCCGTTGCAAAACAGAGACATTCAAGCACATTTAAAACTTTTGTCATCTTTGTGCTGCAAAAGTAAACAGCTCTTGGCAAACTCGCAGATTATTTGCAGGCCAGCCCACGGTGAGAGTTCTGCAGAAAGAAGAAGAAGAGTTTGTGAGGTTTCCTGAAAAGTGTGCGAACGTGAAACAGCTGTGAGTTCCTTTCACACTGAGCAGAAATGTGTTTTAAAGGAGCAGCAGAAACAGACGGAGTGGACACAGGACCAAGGTCAGGAGCACATGCAGATCAGACTCTTACATAAGGAGGACCACAGCAGCCCACTGAGAGTGACATGGGGCAGGCACAGACGGGTAATCATTAAGCCCAAACGCTATCAAAAGAAAACAGAGAAGCCAGCTCAGAGACATTTAAAGTGCTTCATAATGAGGAGAGTCCGAGAAAAGTTGGAGAGCAAGAAACAGAAATATCAATAATGTATGTAGATTTTAATTTATGCATGCCTTAGTCCAGGGGGGTCCAAATTGTTTAGCAAGAGGGCCACTTTAGATCACCAGACTTGACCTGGATCCGACAACCTTGATTTAAAAAACTGGATTGACTGGATTCTGGAGTTTAAATGTTATGATACGTCCTGTCTGATTCACACCTACTACTACTACTACTTTTGTTTTGAATGTTGTGTTAATAAAGTTATTGACTGGATTCTAGAGGGTCTGAGATTTACAGCAGGGGAGAGTGACTGTATTGGTGGAGCTGAAGTTGGTTGGATGACACTCGATGGCGACTTTGTGTTAGCAGCATAGGGCCACATGCAATGGTTCAGGGGGCCGCAAATTGCCCGCAGGCCTGAGTTTGGACATGCCTGCCTTATTCGTTTCTCTTGCATCGAGACCCAAAGCAATTTTCTATTTTGTGACTTCTTGTGACTCACATGGCAATAAAATAATTCTGATTCTCTAAAAAAAAGGAAAGCACATTTTTTATACACGTCAATCTTCAACAGTTTTTTCCATCTTATTTGTTTACATGTGGTTTTTATGTTGTCCAAATGCCCATGTTTACAAAAAAAGCTTTGCCCAGTGCAGATATGCCGCAGCAACAGTTCTCGATGTTGTTGAGAGACCACCTATTGCCTTTTTCATCCCATTATTTTTGCTGATTCTAGTTAGTTTAAATCAACAGTGGCAAACAGGGCCCTGGTTTCAGAAAGTTGGGGCCTCAAACTATTGCGTAAACATACTTGGCATTTCTAATTGCCCAAAGGTTTTCAGCTGGAAGTTTGTCAAGTAATCTAAATCCATCCGAATGGTCTGAGGTGAATACATAGAAGTCTGGAACTGTCTGGGAAGTTTCTCAGAATTCTTCATGAGTGCAAAACACATGTTGTGAAAGAAATAAATAGTTTTTAAACAGATCTTTTTTCTGTTTTAAGCCATATTTTCTTAAACAGAAATGTCAAAGTCAAATACATCTGAGGCCAAACAAACAAATTTGCTACAAGCCGAGGCCCACACTGGTTCAATGTTTATCAAAACATATTAAAATGATGCATATAAACGATGGAACCAAGACCTAACACAGTGTACCGTATTTTATTTAATGATTAAATGAGTAATCCAATATTTTTGTACAGCTCTGTCAGTCATTTCAAGTGAAAACAGTTTTTAACTGGCTCACAGACAAAAACAAACTTCCTTCAAACACATGTCCTGAACATTAAATGAATAATCCCATATTTTCTTCTGGCTCTGTGGGAACAGTTTTAACCTGGGAGCCAAGATCATTCATTTCTGGGCTGGATCTGGCCCCTGGGCCTTGACTTTCACACCCATGTTCCAAACTCACCAAATTATATTTTAAAGAACATCTAACAATGATCAGTCATTCATACATGATGGACTGTTGTACAGACATACCCTAACCCTAACTGCAGAAGAATAAACATGTGCTTTGTAAACAATCCAAAAATCAACAGAACAACACAAACCTCAAACACAGACGTTCTGTGCTGTACGTAATGTTTCATTAGAACATTTTAATAAGAAGTAACATGAGTGTCCAGAAAAACTGCTGCGTCAGGAGCTCCGTTCATGAAACCATAAAAGGGCCACTTAATTCACCCACTGCAATTTGGAAAATGCAGCAAAAATACATGAGCAAAAACATAAAACATTAATGCTGCAAAAACATAAAACATTAAACATTAATGCAGCAGAGCTGGGGTGTCAGAGGAGTCTGAGGAGTCTGAGGAGTCTGAGGGATCAGAGGAGTTTGAGGAGTCAGAGGAGTCTGAGGGGTCTGAGGCGTCAGAGGAGTCAGAGGAGTCTGAGGAGTCTGAGGAGTCTGAGGAGTCTGAGGAGTTTGAGGAGTCAGAGGAGTCTGAGGGGTCTGAGGGGTCAGAGGAGTCAGAGGAGTCTGAGGAGTCTGAGGGATCAGAGGAGTTTGAGGAGTCAGAGGAGTCTGAGGGGTCTGAGGGGTCAGAGGAGTCAGAGGAGTCTGAGGAGTCTGAGGGATCAGAGGAGTTTGAGGAGTCAGAGGAGTCTGAGGGGTCTGAGGGGTCAGAGGAGTCAGAGGAGTCTGAGGAGTCTGAGGAGTCTGAGGAGTCTGAGGAGTTTGAGGAGTCAGAGGAGTCTGAGGGGTCTGAGGGGTCAGAGGAGTCAGAGGAGTCTGAGGAGTCTGAGGAGTCAGAGGAGTCTGAGGAGTCTGAGGAGTCTGAGGAGTCTGAGGGATCAGAGGAGTTTGAGGAGTCAGAGGAGTCTGAGGGGTCTGAGGGGTCAGAGGAGTCAGAGGAGTCTGAGGAGTCTGAGGGATCAGAGGAGTTTGAGGAGTCAGAGGAGTCTGAGGGGTCTGAGGGGTCAGAGGAGTCAGAGGAGTCTGAGGAGTCTGAGGAGTCTGAGGAGTTTGAGGAGTCAGAGGAGTCTGAGGGGTCTGAGGGGTCAGAGGAGTCAGAGGAGTCTGAGGAGTCTGAGGGATCAGAGGAGTTTGAGGAGTCAGAGGAGTCTGAGGGGTCTGAGGGGTCAGAGGAGTCAGAGGAGTCTGAGGAGTCTGAGGGATCAGAGGAGTTTGAGGAGTCAGAGGAGTCTGAGGGGTCTGAGGGGTCAGAGGAGTCAGAGGAGTCTGAGGAGTCTGAGGGATCAGAGGAGTCTGAGGAGTCAGAGGAGTCTGAGGAGTCTGAGGGATCAGAGGAGTCTGAGGAGTCAGAGGAGTCTGAGGAGTCTGAGGAGTCAGAGGAGTCTGAGGAGTCTGAGGAGTCTGAGGAGTCTGTGGTCTCAGGGTCAACATTACAACACCTGCCTAAACACTGCGGAGTGTAGTCTGATCGGGTTCAGTGGTTTTTCATGTTATAACAACTTCACGGATAATTAAAGGCAGAACACAGACACAGACTGTACATTTCTGCAACATTAAAACAAGCAGAGCATTCAAATGTTTATAACAACATGTGTTTTCTTCTACAGCAGCAACAACTCTGGGATAGTAAACATGGACCCAATGAAAAATGAATGACCTTTTTTAACCTGGAAAGTCCAGTTTCAGGGGAGTCCTGGTCCCAGAGAGAGGGGAGCTACTGTACATGTTTTTACAGTGAGGGAAACCGTAGCACCTGGAGGAATCTTAGGCAGGCCTCAGAAAGACCTGCTTTCTACCGTGCGGAATAGTTCAAACAAACACATTGTCTGTTTTTTTCTTAATGATTGTTAAAGTAAGTAAGTAATGTTTATTCATATAGCGCATTTTACAGACCAAGGTCACCCAAAGCGCTTTCTAATGTTCAGAAACTAGATATTTGATGACGGAAGCGAAACCAAACACACTGGTCAAAAATCAAAGCCCCATTTATTACATTCAGACCTGATGTACATGTTTTTAGTTGTAAGGGAAACCGGAGCACCCGGGGGAGAACATGCAAACACAGACACGGGGAGAACATGCAAACACAGACACGGGGAGAACATGCAAACACAGACACAGGGAGAACATGCAAACACAGACACGGGGAGAACATGCAAACACAGACACAGGGAGAACATGCAAACACAGACACGGGGAGAACATGCAAACACAGACACGGGGAGAACATGCAAACACAGACCCGGGGGAGAACATGCAAACACAGACACGGGGAGAACATGCAAACACAGACACGGGGAGAACATGCAAACACAGACACGGGGAGAACATGCAAACACAGACACAGGGAGAACATGCAAACACAGACACGGGGAGAACATGCAAACACAGACACAGGGAGAACATGCAAACACAGACACGGGAGAACATGCAAACACAGACGGGAGAACATGCAAACACAGACGGGGAACATGCAAACACAGACACGGGGAGAACATGCAAACACAGACACGGGGAGAACATGAAACAGCAGAACACAGACACGGGGAGAACATGCAAACACAGACACGGGGAGAACATGCAAACACAGACACGGGGAGAACATGCAAACACAGACACGGGGAGAACATGCAAACACAGACACGGGGAGAAGAACACAACACAGACACGGGAGAACATGCAAACACAGACACAGGGAGAACATGCAAACACAGACACGGGGAGAACATGCAAACACAGACACAGGGAGAACATGCAAACACAGACACGGGGAGAACATGCAAACACAGACACGGGGAGAACATGCAAACACAGACCCGGGGGAGACCATGCAAACACAGACACGGGGAGAACATGCAAACACAGACACGGGGAGAACATGCAAACACAGACACGGGGAGAACACAAACACAGACACGGGGAGAACATGCAAACACAGACACGGGGAGAACATGCAAACACAGACACGGGGAGAACATGCAAACACAGACACGGGGAGAACATGCAAACACAGACACGGGGAGAACATGCAAAACATATAATTGATGGAAAAAGAAGCAAAAAGAACATTAAGTATAAGAGTTGGCAAAGTTTTTCAGTCCAGGGAAACTTTTCTATTCTACATATAATACAAATGGACTCTGAAAAGTAGAGGAAGTACAATATTTATTTTCTTTGAGGTCTAAGTTTGGCTTCCCTGGACCACATTCTTGTATAATAGGCTTTTAGCTTTTATCTCCACTATGTTTTTACTTACTTACGATACGCTAACAGCTTCTTTCCACATTTTGAATTTCTTTATTGTATTTATTTGACAGGGACAATGCAGTTATACATAGATACATAAGGAAAGATGCAGCTAATGCTAATTTTCAACTCCTGTCCCTGGTTGAGCCTTTCCCCACAATGCAACACAATATACAGAATAATAAAAATAGAGCTAGCCCTAAGACACATATTTACAACAGTGATCTAACATTAAACACATTCTCCCCACCGATGACGGCTGCACAGATAAAAGCCATTCACAGTCAGCAACACACACACACAAAATACACACAAGCTGCTTTCAGTTCAAACAGATCACTTTAAAGATGCTATACCCAATTATTTTTTTTTTATGAGTTCATAAAAATGCGTATTACTACATACAAGTTGTATTATAATCTGTAATTTAATTGAAAACTTGAGCTCATTGATTCAGCTGTGCTTGAATTCAGGCCGAAAAAAGTGCTGAGTAGAGACTTAGCGTGACGTCCGCTCTCCTCCAATCACAGAACGAGGCTGCGTCCTCTAGCCTCTACAGCGCTGCTAAACACTGTAGCATGTTAGCATAAGTGGCTATAACTCCTCTGGCTGTAACTGCAGACACAGCAAAACAGCCCAAACCACACAACAGTGAGGAAGAGAAGAGGGAACTAAAGCCAAAACATGATCAAAGAAGAAATCAAGCCCTGGTGAACATAGCTAGCTTACGATGTAAGCTAGCTATGTTCAATCAAGTGTATTGTATTGTATTGTATATATTTTGTTAGCAGTGCGTTGCTTTCGAACCATTTCATCAGTGATTGTTGTACAGCTCACAAGTTGCACTCATGCTAATGTTTGCATATAGATCACAAATAAAACTAGATGCTCCGTGGGAGGAGAGCGCAGGGGAAATGAGTAGCCTGTGAGCGAGTTGGGGGCGGGGCTAAAAGTTCAAACCTTGCAGAAACGGGTATAGCTCCTTTAATGATCTTGCCTTTGAATTGAAACTGTTATTGTCGATCGATTTCACAGTCAATCTTTCACAGTTTTTTTTTTTCGTTTTACTTCTGTACTTCTAACCTTGTTTTATTTATGTAATTGTCTTGTGCACACTGGCAAATGTATTCCAATGTGGTTTTACTGCAAACGGCAAATAAAATGTAACCGGTCAAATATCTTCATTGGTGCATTTGAAAAAGTCCCCATTCTTCCGACCCTCTTCATTCCTCTCTGATATCAGGCAGACTTTCAGACTCAGCGGGTTAAAAACAAGGAAATAACCCGACACATTTTTGAGCCATGGAACGTTGCCCGAGGTCAGAGAGTTTTAAAAGTCTTACCGCTTCTTTTTGCACACAATCTGTTCGCTGAGATTTACCCAAACTGCACTGCTTCACAAAACCCAATGAGAAAGGTCGCGTTGGAGAGTTCTCGGGATTAACCGCAGCACTTTGTTCCAGGAAGCTCCAAATGTCTCTGGACACACAACACACCATGTCATAAACACGAACCTCTGTATTCTAATTTGAAACAGTTAGTTTGTTTACCGTGTTGACTCCAGCGGGAATAGAAACGTTGAACCGTAATCAGTGGAAAACAAACAGTCAGAAGTCTGTTTCGCATTGACCTTTGCAGGATGGAGACAAGAACATAAGCAAATAATATCAGGGTCTAATCACCAATAAAACTGTTTTGAATGTTCCGACTAGAGGAGGGCCATATAAACTGGATTATGTGGTAATTACTTGTTTAAAATGTGTGCAAAAAATCAATAATGTGTGTATAGTTTACGTTCAAATATTCAATACAAAATAATAATAGTAATAAAATAAATACAACTGAGGGATTTTATATTGGTAACTCTCTTTAATCTACTCTGATTATTTATTTATTTATTATTCAGTAATTTGAATACCTTGTGTGACTGTTTATATCTTGTGTTGTTCAGAACTTTGTGGCCTTGTGTAGGAATTGTGCTCTAAAAATAAACTTGCCTGATAATAATAATGCATTGGTTTTGTACAGTGCATTTGTGGAGAATCAAAAACATTTCACATTTCATTCACTCCATACACGGTGGTGATAAACTACTACTGTAGCCACAGCTGCCCTGGGGCACACTGACAGAAGCGACGCAACCAGTCTGTGCCATCAGCCCCTCTCACCATCTTCAACCATTCACACACACACCAGAATCATTTTAAGCAATGTGAGTTAAGTGTCTTGCCTAAGGACACAACCACAGTTTGGTACTTTACAGCCGCAGCCGCCCCACTGTGGCATCAGGTGTTCCCGGAGGTCTCCCATCACAGTACTAACCAGGCCCTGCCCTGCACAGCTTCAGAGGTCTGACAGGATCTGGCTTTTGCACACAGGTATGGCCACGAATTGGTAAATAATAAATATTGTTTAATCTTTTGCATCCAGTCCGTGCTCTGTTGTGGTTAAATGTTAACTTCAGTAACATGTGTTTTTGAAGGATTTCCACCTTCACCTGTAAACGCCAAACTGCGACACTGAAGATTCCATTCACTGAAAAAAGTACAATCTTGCTGAGATTCATTTACAAAAAAATTACATAAATCATTCTTTTTTAAGGCAAGTTTGTGTTGCTTGAAAGTAGTTTGACATACGATTATTTTACTAGTTTTAATCTCTAACTAGATACAGCACTATCTTATTAGAGAAAAAAGTCTGAGCAGTGAGTTTTTAAGCTGGTTTTAAGTATTTTTACTCACTTCCAGAGAACTTTTCTTCTTGTTTAGATAAAATAAGTTCATGATGCTATATTTTAAGAAAACATTTCTCAAATTTTTTAAAGAAATAAGTAAATAATAATTGAAATGTATGTTTTTAAACTAGAATCAACTCATTTGGCGTTAGGATTGTTATCTTATTTTCAGACATCTCAAGTCATATTTTCATGTTCTTTTGGCAGAGCATTTCTAAAATTTCAAACATTATTTTACTTATTTTCGTATCTGTTTTTCTTATTTTTTTAGGTATTATTTTCCAGTGTAAATGTACAACTTTTATACCCACATTCTTTTTGTTTTTGTTGTTCATGGTTTTACACTGGTCCAGACCAGAGCAGAGAAGATTCATGGTTTTACACTGGTCCAGACCAGAGCAGAGAGGATTCATGGTCTGAACCAAGTGGATCTGGCCTTGATCCACTGGAGGAATGCTAACTTCTTGAAAAATGCTAAGGTTTCAGCATTTTACTTTGGACCAGAGCAGAGAAGATGGTCCGAACCAAGCGACTGCTCCACCTCTGCTGCTGTGACCTGAAGAGCTGTTGAATTTTAACCTATTTTTAACTTTATAGAATGATACATTTTATTTTTTAGTTTTGTTACTACTGGACACCTGCATTTCTCCTACAGGGGATCAATAAAGTATCTATCTATCTATCTATAGGACCAGTTTCAGTGCATACGTTTCTGACATCTGTCTATTGTTGCAGATCCAGCTGCCAATACGGAGGACCATGGGACTATGTGACGTCATGTCCTGGTTCTTCTCCCTGCAGCAGTGAAAGGTCCGCCTGCATGCATGTCTGCACATTCTGGACTGAATCATTTTTCAATAGCACCATCTGTCATCATTATCTATTCATGCTTTCATTTTGTATTCCAATGTCCTCTTTCTATCTGTCCGCATAAACATATGGTTTACATTTGAGGCCTGCACCAGCGACTTACAACCAGGAGAAAGGAGAAATCAATCACAAGTCTGACTCTCCTTCTTTTCTCTTTCTCTTGATGCCCGTTTGTTCTGCTTCATTAAAGTCCTCTCTCTGGCTCGTGGATCCTGTGGACAGAGGGCCAGAGGGGCTGTGTACTCATGAGGTTGGTATTGGACCGTGACGGACGCACTCATGGTTCAAATGTTCCTATAGTCTCTAACTGGTATATTTGGGAATGCCAAACGACCACAAATGAAAACATAGAGGGAGGGATTTTGACATGTGTAAAACGCAGTGATTCAAAATATTACCCAAATGTGGTGTTTGGGTATCGCTTTTACACGGAGGAAGAGCCTAATAAACAGGACTACGGTATGAGTCAGCAAGAAGTCTAAATATAACTGCTGGTACTGCGGATATACTGGAAAAATACCTTGAAAAACATATATGAAAATAAGTGAAATACTGCTTAATATAATAAAAAGGATCTGTCAATAGAATTTTTTTTTTTAACTTATTGTCAGTAATAATAAAATAACACTCCAATCCAATTTATTTCACATTTTATAAAATAAGTTTCCAAAGTGCTGCACAGAGATAAAAGTGACACATTTATTTATATAGGTTTGCCAGCATAAAAAAAATCTATCTTAAAACTCGTAAAATAATCTTATGACAAACTACATTCAAGCAAAATAACTTTGTTAAAAAAATATTTTAAAAAGCATTATATTGATTCTTTGAGATTTGACTTTTTCAGTGTATTTCAAGCCCGGCTGGCAGACAGAGGGAATGTTTTAGGGTCTCAGGGAATTGCTTATTACTCATTTTATTGTTTTTTTCTTAATGCAACGACGCCTCTCTTGAAGGATAGTAACTTTGACATCCGTGTATCAGGACATGGAAGGAGAAATGCCCTGATGGATGAGTATGTTTTGAAAGAGGTGATTGTAGATCTGCGAGATCCTTCAATAACATGAAGGATCTTTGAGTGTCCAATGAAGCAAAACTAATGCTTTATTATTATTATTGAGTATTAAATTGTAATTGTCATGTATAGGAGCTCATTTTTGCTTTGATTGTTTATGCTGAAACAGAATAAAACCATGTATCCCTAACGTAGCCACACAAGCTCCATAAACACGACTCGTATCCCTGCGCTTTTCTGTTTTTCTTTTCCGTTCATTTGAATAATTTAATTGACGTGTTAATTCGTATGAAACAGTAGGAGCTGTAAATACACCAGTATGTAGCTGATTTCCTGTCGTCTCAAAGTAACTTAACCGTAACCCTCACCTGTTGCACACGTTTTGTTTGTGGTAGCAAACCGGATCAAACCAACGCAGACATGGGGAGAACATGCAAACTCCAGACCGAAAGACGTTTTTGCTGAGCCCCGCTTTACCATACTTATCTGTACTCTGTCTTAAAGCCTAAATATGATTTGTTGTTTCTGAATAACCAATGGAACGCATGTGAAATCTGTTAAGAGACTGAATCCTCTTTTCTACAAAACATTCTAAATGCATCCAGTCTTCTACAAAAACCGCAAGCTCAAAACATGAAGCGGTCGGAACGGAAATAAATAACCAAAGAAAGTCCAGTGGTATAATGAGAGTCTGTCAGCACAGGTTTTGAAAATCTGATTCGAGCCTCTTTACGTTGCCTGGGGCCATTAATGATCTATCTTTAAGTCTTCGGTGGAGAACCAAGTAATGGCCCATGGAGGGTTCTATTTTTTCCACACTAAATATTTGGAGATATCACAGTCAATGATGGATAGAGTGTACAAGTATAAGTAAGCACATATGCAGAAACACACTGCCCGGCCAAAAGCAATCCATTAATCTATGTTGACAATGTCTGCTTTTGGGTGAGACCAAATCATCTTTATCACGGTGTTTTTCCAGACGCTAAAAAGTGAAAAGTTTATAGTCAAAAATGGAGTAGAGGATATAGAGTATGTTTTGTTCTGTGCCCGGGAAAATGTGGTCCTTATCTTGGCACATTTTAACTCTCCTATTTTTCAAAAGTATATGAACTAATCCGCACGTTTTTCGGTCGTCCTGTCTGAAAATAAAGAGCCATACCCTTCACAAGTATCAGAATACATCTTATAGTTAAGGGTAATTTACATTTGAATTTTAAATGATTTTATTGTCTGAACTACATTTTTTATTATTATTATTATTATTATTATTATTATTATTATTATTAATATTATTATTATTATTTTATGTTTATTTTTTATTATAATAATAATTATTATTATCAATAATAATAATAATAATAATGATATTATTATTATATGTATTCAAGTAAAAAATAAAAACAAAAAGTAGTCAAGTTTGAGATAAGCATTATTTTGGTAGAGCATTGGCCTTTGAGCCTGAAGGTTGTGGGTTCAAGCTCATCACAAGAGCTTCTCCATATCCCTACCGACTCCCATTGATGTCTGGTGTCGTTGTGTCCTTGGGCAAGACACTTAACCCCACGACCCAGAAATGGATAAAGGGGAAGAAGATGGATGAATGGAACAGACAAAGAGAAGATCAAAACTGCTCAGCGAAAGAAGAAGAAGGGAAAGCCATACTTCACATTTTGCACCAGTCATATGTTTCTCTCAGTGTAGTGTGTGTTGTACAAATCATATTCTTCCTTTTCTGATCAACATCTGGATTCAAACTTAATTAACCAAAAAGACACAATGGTCAGGTGATTAATGATGACGTGTTATATTATGGTTCTAAAGTTTGGTCGTCCAAACAGACAGCTGGAGAAACATCACATTTCCTGCTGGTTCTGTGCCTGAACCGGAGCACTAACGCTAACACTGCATCAGTCACGGTCTATGATCAGGATTGGAATTGCAGAGGACATAACGTGTCCGTGTGCTTAATGCGCAGGGACGCTGGCAGCAAAGGTTTGGATAGTCATTTAATTACTTTATCAAACCAGTAAGTGCTGCGTACATACTGTTCCTTTAACCTAATAAACATCTACTATGATTGACAATGATCAAGATCTATAGGTAAATATGTAAAATATGTAAATATATTGTATTATTATTAAACTCTCTCGATATGAACCTCCTCAAGGTTTCTCACTTTTCCCACTGCGTCTAGAGTTGAATTGCCGATGCCGAGGGTCTAACTAAAAAGACACTCAACATTCAACACCATTTATGGACCAATACCAAAGTGTTTTCTATTTCTTGTGTTTGAATAAGATTTCAAGATTTTTATTTGTCAAACCAAGTGAATGGTTTGAAATTATATTTCTCTCATCCTTGATTGTGGAGCGGGGGGTGGGGGAAGAGGGGTGGGAAGGAGGGTTGGGAGTTCAGCTTCCTGATGGCCTTGTGAATTAAACTGTTTTTAAGTCGACTGGAACTGTTCCGTAAATTCTGCAGTCTCCTCCCTGAAGGCATTACACTGAAGAGCCTGTGTGATGGGTGCGTAGGGTCCCTGGTGATTCTGACGGCTTTGCGGGTGAGACGGGTGGAGTACATGTCCTTAATGGTGGGGAGAGGGGCTCCACAGATCTTCTCTGCTGCTCTCACGATGCGTTGGAGGCTCCTTCAGCAGGAGGCAGTGCTGGTGCCGTGCTACACAGTGATGGAGCTGGTCAGGATGCTCTCTACAGTCCCTCTGTAGAAGTTGCACACAACGGAGGCCGGGACTCCTGTAGCGCCTCTTGTGACGCCTCCACTGTGCTGCAGATGCGTGGGGCCCTCGGTGACCTGTCAGCGCTTCAGAAGATGATATCTCTGGATTTGTAGGTCTTAAATACTGCTCAAAAAGCCTTTAGCTCAGATGCTAACTGTGTGTTTACTTTTAAAAACACATCCTCTGTTCATTGCTAGCAAAGAGCTTTGGCAGTAAAAAATCCACTGAACTCCACAAAAAAATGGCAAAGATGTACAACAACATCTTGCAAAACAATGCGGATCACAAAAACTGCAAATGCAGTTTGCAGAAAAGGGTAGAAACGTCACCTTGTCAAGAGAGGGAGAAGCCGCAGCATGTTCATGCACCGCCATGGTAACTATGGTTACTACTATATAGATACTACTAATAGACTGTAAATACTAATGGACGTAGTGACGGCTATCTCGGCCATTGAAACTAATGTGTTCCCACTTTTGGCTGCTATGGGTTTTTCAAAATGAGAAAAAACACATTTGCACATGCGATAGCTGCATGAGCCCCATTCATTTAACAAGTGCATTCAAAAGTCCACAGCGACTGAACTAGACAGTTCCAAAAAATTCCAGCAGCATCTGGAAGTATTGAGCCAAGAGCGACTTTTGGACCATCCTGTAAAGACGTTTTCAAGAGGAAAGAAGACACCGTACAAAAGCATTGGGTAATTCTCTTTCCGGGTGCACCCCCACAGCCAAGGAGTGGGATTGCAGCATGTCAGCGCACATGCTCATGGACCTTTTGGATCTGGTTTGAACTGTTTGATTCTCTGATCTGTGTTGGCGAATTATGCGGTTTTGTGAAGTCCGACAAGATAGCTACTGTAGAATTTAATTTAATGAATGCAAAAAAACTGCAAAAAAATACACCACTCGAACAATACATCATAAAGATAAGTATAGCCACCAATATAACATTTCAAAACATAAAGCCAATATGACAAAGTGAATATTGTGGTGGCAGTAGGGAACACCAGATCTGTTCTTTGAAAGTGCTCCACAATATCTGTTTTTCAATGTTTTCCAGAAGCCCATCACAGCAAAACAATTACCATACCATTTTCACATTATAGTGGATTTTAATGACTTGCCTAATTAAAAAAGTGCGTCAGCTGGAGTAAATCTCCTGTCAGAGCAGACCTCTGTGGTAAAGTGAACCGGCCCAGGGCGTTTGATTATGAGCATAATTAAACTTTAGACGCAATGAGAAAAATGTGCGGCATGTCGGGTAATGGAGCTCTTGGACTGGTTTTTGCGTAGGTCTGTGAACATGTCCAAAGGCGGTCAAAGAAAATAAATGAAAGTATTTATGCAACGTTTACTCAACTCAAATATGTGTAACTACTACATTTATCCTACATGCTGCAGTTACTTAAAGTATCCCATGCCAACCAAGGATGTGTCAATACTTGTCTAGAACTAGTGAATTAAATCCTCTATCCAGGTAAACATGATTTTGTTGTCATATAAATGTGAGTAATAGGTTTTTATCAAGATATACAGCCTACAATTGTTTTAAAGATTAACAGATGCTTTATTCATCCCACAGTTACAGAACAGTAGTGATGACAAAAACACACAGCATAAGACAAATAAATAACTATACTAAACTAGAAACCGTTGCAATGGCTGAAGCCATTGCGATTGACTGCGGAACAGATCTAATGTGGAATTTAGCTGAAAAATCCTTGAAATCCTTGAAACTGTTAAAATACTTTAAACATCTTTGAAACTCCTGAAGTATTTGAAGCTCCTGATATCCTTTAAACTGTTATCCTTTATACTGGTTTTCATGTAAAAACCCCTATTAAGTTCCATTATACTGGTTTACATGTAAAAACCCCTATTAAGTTGCATTATACTGGTTTACATGTAAAAAACCCTATTAAGTTGCATTATACTGGTTTACATGGAAAAATCCCTATTAAGTTGCATTATACTGGTTTACATGTAAAAAACCCTATTAAGTTGCATTATACTGGTTTACATGGAAAAATCCCTATTAAGTTGCATTATACTGGTTTACATGTAAAAATCCCTATTAAGTTGCATTATACTGGTTTACATGTAAAAACCCCTATTAAGTTCCATTATACTGGTTTACATGTAAAAACCCCTATTAAGTTGCATAATACTGGTTTACATGGAAAAATCCCCATTAAGTTGCATTATACTGGTTTACATGGAAAAATCCCTATTAAGTTGCATTATACTGGTT